ATTCTTTTTCTCTTGCTTGGCCCTCAGAGTCCATTCTTGCATGCTGCATATCAGGGAACCTCTCACTGCTCTCACCTGTCCCACTTCCTCTCTGTACCAGAGGGTAGGTCTCTGAGGGAGGCTTTACGCCAAGTCCCCTTCTCAGTCCTCTGTGGCATCTGCTTGATCATTGACTGTGGGTTCTGGACTCTGTTCCCGCCCTTACCAGCATCTGTAAAATGGGGTGGTGCCTGCATCTTCCTCCTTAGGCTCAAAGAATTAAATGCATCCCAAATGCTTAACCAAGGGCGTGGTGCACAATAAGCACCCACCGATAATTTGTTTGCTGTAACTGTTAACTAACTGCATGCTGGTATTAATGTATGCTTGCTGGGTGAGCCGGGAATGCCTGCTGCTGCTGGACTGAGCAGGTTCATCTCCCCGGGAGACAGGGGAAAGGCAAGTCACCCTGGGCAGTTTCCCACTTTGCTTGCCTTGGCCTGTTCTGCCCTCATAGCGGGACTCCACTATGCAAACCCGCTCTCTCTCCTGCAAGCAAAACATGAAAAATAAACTTGGCTTTGAATCCAAGGCCACAGATGCTTTTGATCTCTGTTACAAAGAAAAGCAATTATTGGACACAAAAGCCCTGATTTATTTATGAAATACGATGGACATCTTTGGGGCGGGAATGAGAAAAGTTACTCAAAACCAAGTCCTTGTGGTCACACAGTGAATGGCTGCTTTCAAACACAGCCCCCAAACACCCTCTCTTCTCTGCAAAGAGTCTCTCCTCATTAGCGCAGCCTCCGGAATACCACAGCTTCCAGCAATCAAATCCACATCACGGCTGGGCAAGTAATTAGATTCTGCAGGCATCAGAGCACAGAATAATGGATGGCTATTGTTAAGGATGCTGGAGAAAACAGAATGAGCCTGACGTGGAAGGGGCTGCCATGCCGGGCTTCAGACGCAGGCAGGGTTGAGGAGGAGGTGAGGGAGATGTGCACAGGGCCCTCCAGCGGGCCCAGCACGTAGCCTGGCAGATCGCACTGGTCCACAGATCCAAACTGAGTTTGGGGCCAGATTCAGCACTCTAGATGCAGGCCTCGGTTTACTCATCTGTCAAAAGAGGCAGACTACATAAGGTACTTCCTACCTGTGACCCCCACGCAAGAGGCATGAGCTGCTCCCATTAGAGATGCAGATACGTAGGCATCCCTGGACCATTAGCACTGGAAACCATCAGGGGGAACCCAGGCCTCTGCCTTGAACCAGCCATCCATGTCACACTGACCTGTCCTGGTCGGCACACTGTGCTCTGGCAGGACCTTCCTAGAATGCTCCGACGGCTTCTGAATATTACTCCTGTGGGTGGAGAAGACGCAGCACGGTCGGGGAGGACAACCACGGTGGGGAGGAACGCAGGGCCTCATCACAAGGAGCACTGAGCTAGAGATGTTTGCCTACCACCAGGAAGCTCAAGTCATGGGGTCCTGATACCTGTCTTGCAACGACTGATGAAGTTTTGCATAGAGTCCATCTATATGGCCCTCAAGGCTGCGACCAGAAGGTCGCCTTGGGACAATTTTCTATTGATCTCAGACGTCTCAAAGAGAATGAAGACATTGTGAGGAGTAATGAGCGCCACCTAGTGAGGGATGTCCAGAAGAGGAAGGTGGACACCCGGTGCTTCTTTTCCCCTCTGCTAAGGACACCCCAAGTGTTCTTGGGGAAGCCCCTCCCCCGGCCTCAGGGAGCTGAATCTGTGTCTGGCTTCCCAGGCGGGCAGCAAGGAGCACCACGTCTCCCAGCCACAAGCAGCACGCATGCGACCTGCACTGCATCCATCAGAGCCCAGACAGGCATTCCCAAGAAGAGGGACTTGTGGTGGGCAGGATGCAGGCCCAGAGCAGCTCAGGGCTGTCTACTCAACGCAGGGGGACACAGTCACTTGCAAAGTCCCCCCAAAAGTGGAAACAGCAGAGTGGAGCGCAGTTGTGCAGACTGGGTTCTGACAACACTCCGCCCCAGAAGCTGGGCTCACCTGGAAGAGCTGGAAAGCTCATCTTCCCCTACAACAGGGAAGCTAGGCTGCTGCTGGAAGTGGCAGGAAGAGCCCACACCACTTTGCGCAGCCCCAAGATCCCCGTTCCGCCTTCTGTGTCTGACTCAAGCCTCCTACTGAGAGCGAGGGCCACCTGCCTCGCTTCCAGAGTGCAGGGTTATTTCTAGTCTTTGAAAGGGGCACCCCGTGAAAGGGGAAATGGAGGACCAGGAAAAGGTAGGTGTAAGCAGGCAGGCCAGGAGCCACCCAGCTCCCTCCAGCCCTGGCTGCAGATGCCTCTGCCCCTGCCCTACTCCGCCTGCCCCAGCAAGTGAGGCCAGCAGCTAGGTGAGGGACGGCGCAGGGGCTGGGAGGGCCTCCGTTCTCAGCTGGCTGTCCCTCAGCGGACACTGTCTTGGTTACTTTTTTCTCACTGCTGAAACAAAATACCCAACACCCCAAATTGAGGAAGGAAAGGCTTATTTAGCTCACAATTTGTGGAGGTTTCAGTCCATAATCACCCTCCAAGATAGAGAGGATGGCATAGCACATGGGCAACACATTAAGTCAGCGGGACACAGCAAAAGCAACCAGAGCCAGAGCGGGGAGAGCGAGCCCCCTTTCCTCCCTCACACTGCAAGCAGGCTCCCTGCCCCCTCGTGCAGGTGCAGTGGTCACAGCACCTCAGTGCCCTCTTGTACAGGCTGAGGGTGTTTGCAAAGCGAGGACTCTGGCGCCCTGCTGGGGAGCTTGAACTTCTCAAGTTGCTCCAGTGTATCAACCACTACGTAGAGACACCTGCTAACATTTGACCTGTACGTCTCCCACTCAAAGCACCCTGCAGAACAAGCGTTACACCCCCACTTCCCAGATGAGAATACCAAGGCTTGTCGAGACTTGCCCAGCCGTGGTCAGAGAGGCACTTCAGAGACAAACTCGAAATCATCAAGCACACTGTTGACAAGGGCCCAGAGCCCAAGGCATTCCCTCCTCCTGTGAAGCAGGGTGTGGGGAGCCCCTGTCCAGTGGCTGTGAGGGCTCCTGGCCTCTCGCCACACATCGCAGGCTGGCCTCAGTTGCCAGGTTACACATAACTGATGCGATGACACAAAGGGGGCTGCGTCAGGCCCGGAGCCTGTTCTCCCAGCCCACGGGGGCTGGGACACTTCCTTTGTTCCTCAGGCACAGGCCCGGTAACAAGCTCCCGAGCTCAGCTGTGAACAGTGTTTCATTATTTTCCACGCTGTTAACCTCCATCACCAGTCAGGCTGCTGTCAGCCTAAATGAGCACCGAAAAGATTTACCTCACTTGTCCCAGGACTCAGCTCAGGAAAAAGACCTTCATTTCCTAACAGCCTGATGACCCTTCTGTGGGAGTCACACCCAGGAGAAAAGCCACTCAGGAGCTGCAGGCAAGAGCTGGGCTGGCGACGAGACCAGGACTCCAGGCCGCAGCCCGGTGCCTCTCCTCTGCCAGGCCTTGTTCAGCACCGGGTGATTTTGTTTTGGTTTGGGCTTTTTGGTACTGTGTATTTACCTTCCTAATTATGTTTGCTTATGCAAATATTAAACTTAGACCACATTCCATAAACACAGCCCCAGGAGGACACCAGAAGCACATTGTGTGGCACAAAGAAATTAGCCTGAGTCTACGGTTTTGCTATGGATGAAATCTTCAAAGTAGATGACCCAGATCCATACCGTGAGAGATGGTTTTACAGCATTTCCAGTCAGAGTGTCTCCTTCTCTGTGCTTCTAGCAATCCTCAGGCACCACATCTCTAGAATTGGCACCTAGAAGAGATGAACTAGATTCTCTTGGTAATAACTGCCCCTCACATTTTTACGACCACAGCCCGCGTCCTCAGCACCGCTGGAGCTCCCCTCTGTCCTACATGTGGGAGTGACAACCCTGTCTGCCATCCATGTCACAAGTGAGGAAACTGAGGCATACAGAGTTTAAGCAATACACCGCTAATAAAAGATGAAACTCGAATTATGAATCCAAGTAGTTAAGAAATCTGCACCCAGAGGCTACACCCCAAACAATTTCTTAATAATGCCTCTTCCCTCCACACACACTACCTAACCTTTGCACTGCTCCTGGAGAAGATCAGCTTAAAATCTGTAAGACAGACCAAGGATGAAGCCCTCAGAGGCTAAATAACAGGACCACTTTACAGACAAGGAAACTGATGTTCACACAAACGAATTCAGCTCAGGTACACAGCACCTCGGCGAGGTTTTGCTACGGAAATAGTCTTCAAAGTAGACAACCCAAATGCCTCGAAGTGCTCAATGAGGAGCTCCTGACACACAGCCTTCAGGGGACACAAAAGGTGAGGCTTGACTGGGCACGTGGCACTAGCCTGCAGGCCCAGCTACAGAAGGCTGAGGCAGAAAGGGTACTGAAACCAGCCCGGACAGCACAGTGAGACCTTGTCTCAAGAAAGAAAAAGAGAAATATATTTTTTGACGGGAAAAGTGTGTAATAGAGTGTTACATACTTCATGAAGTGATATAAGCAAGTGGCACAATCACATGATCTCATTTGAGAAAAATGCTTACACTGTAAAATGTATGAATTACAAGTACACGTGGAAAATATATTTGCATACATACATCTAAAGAAACACCTAGAACACTGAAGTGATTATTTCCAAGTGACAACGTTGCTGGTGGTTTTAATTTTGCATGCGAGCTTATCTCCCCTCTTACAAGCCCTCTTTGATGCGTGAGCGCTGCTAGCCTAGTCAGCCAATGCCGTTCCAGTGGTGGAGGTGTAGGAGTGGCTGAGAACAGTCTTCTAAGGCTTAGTCAGAGCTCAAACAAGGGCTGCAATCCCAAGTCCAGCCTTCAACACTGCCCTCCTGGTCCCCTGTCCCCCAGCCATACCCACCGTGACGGCAGAGAGAGCGTTGCCACGCAAGCTTGGGGCAGAGGCCTGGGGCAGGTGAGCGGGCCTGCTTGCCTACCTTTTTGAAGAGTCTGATGACATCCTCACTGATCTGGGAGAGGCGGACAATCACATTGTTCATGAAGATGTCGTTGAGGGTGGCATGGTCTCGGCTCTCCCGCCGGGTCTGATGGAGGACCAGATACCAACAGTTCACTGGTGACAGGAGATATTGGTCCTTCCTGTGGAAACCAAGACAGCTCAGACTGGCTCCTCTACAACTGTCATCATGCCCTTCGTCCCTCACCATGCCCCTTCAGGTCACTTTGATTATAAGACATCAAGAGCTGAAGTAAGCCTGTGTAATTCAGAACAGCATCAGGCCAGAACCTGGCCTTAAATCCTGGGCACTCTTGTAAGCGCCTCACTTCTGGGGCTAAGGAATGCTCAGGCAATTGTACACCTGTATGATTTCTACAATCCCACTGTGCAACGGGAAGAACAACAAACAGACACTTCCTCCCCCTTCCCTGTCTCCCTGACTTCTGAGTGCCTCTTTATCCGTCCCAGGAATCACTTGGCTCCTGGAAACACAAGCCTGGTGCCCCTTGCTGGAGCAGCCAAGAAACCCTGGAGGGGTTCAAGCTCGATATTCTCTCAGGGAGGGGTCAGGTTCTGGATTGATGAATTCTTAGCAAGCTTGGTCTGGGCTGGGTCATGTGCGAAAACCAGAGCTCTGAAAGTGATCTCCGGCAGCACCAGCGCCCTCTGGGCAACTTGTTAGAAATACACATTATTCAGTCCCTGCAGAATCAAAATCCTGCGCTGGGCCTGCCATCTGGGTTGTGCAAGCCCTCCAGCAGATCCCTAGGCACTCTCACACTGGAGAACTACCGTTCCACATCCTCTGCTTCCCAAACAGAAGTGGAAGATCCACATCTCCACCGTATTTTACCAAGGGCCCTGTTTTAGCCTCAGCAGAGGGTGTTTGTGCCCTGTTCTCCAGGGCAGCAGAGGGAAGGGCAGCTCCAACCCAAAACCCATTCGAGCCAGTCATCCTATCTCGCCACACAGTCACCGTGCAAGAGTTCTTGTCCACCCTGAGTGTGTCTCTCACTCCGCTTTCTCGTGTGGAAAAAGACCTGGAAAATCAGGCTGTGGAGGTGGAAAGGCCACCTGAGGACTCCAGAGTCCCCCAGGCCTGCCTTGCTGCCCCTGTCCTGAATGCAGTGACCCCAGGTGCTGACCAAGGCTGCTGTCTAGGACACGCAGCCTCTGTGAACAGGGTTCTTGAGGAAGTGACTCTGCTGATTCCCAGGACCACTGCACCCTCCTCCCGGAGCCAAGTGCAAGTGAGAAGGGAAGCTGCCCCTCCTCTGCCTCCCTTTCAAGCCCTGAGGCTCGGCAAGGTAGATCAGGGCCCACGTGACCTGCAGGCACTTCTCTTTCTGTTACCAAACGGGCTAAGCACTTGTCTAGACAGCAGGAATTGGAGCACAGGGAATTCGATTTAGACACAGAGGGAATGTGCTGGAAACGGGTAGATGGTAAAACACTCAGACACGCTGTGTGGGAGAGAAAAACAGACTTCGTTTGTGCTTGGTTCTTGGAAAGAGCAAGAATATCGAAGCTCAACCCAGCCAGAGTCCCTGTGTTTGCTCTGGCAGGTTCTGGGTAGGCTGTGGACACCCACACAAGACGGAACACAGAGCTCCTGGGAGGGGCTCGTTGCCACCTGGCTGTGACAGAAGAGGTAGAGAGAGGCAGCGGGAGTCCGCCGCAGGGAGTGCCCCAGGCAGCACTTGGCTGGAGGAGCCGTGGCAGTAGCCACGGCTCCTCCCTTGCACCCTGTGTCACCACGCAGTCCCAAGGGTTTTCATCAGGTTCTTTTCCATGGGGACAATCGCACACACTGACTGTCCCCACCACCTGGAGTGTGCCAGCCTCTTGCCCTGGCCACCAGCTCCCTCCCCTTCTGTAGGGGCAGCTTAGGCAGCTGTTCCCAAAGTGTGGCTCCTGGCCCACAGCCTTGCAATCACTTAGAACCTGCAGGAATGCAAGTGGTCAGAGTTGCTGCAGCCGGCACCTGTGTTTTGACTGCTCTCCAAGTGATTCTAACGTACACACACTCAGAACCTCTGAGCTGCAGTGTGAATCTGGAGTGTTCAGTGTGTGTGCAATTGGGAGGTGGGAGCTTTAAGAGGGGGAGCTAGTGGGAGGTCTTCAAATTATTGCGGGTGTGGCCAGACACAGCCCTTGCTTCCTGTTTCCCATTTTCTGGCCCTGAGGTCAGTGGTTTTGCTACACTGAGCGCTCACAGTATAACCTGTTACTGCCTACAACTAGACTAAAAGCAACAGTCTACCCTAGCATGGCCTGCAACCCCCAAAACTCTGAGCCAAATGAACCTCTCGTCTTCATAAGTTGGTCATCTCATGTATTAGTTGTAGTGAAGGAAAGCTGACAGATACAGTCTGCCCTCAGTTTCCACCCCACACTCCCCGCACTCTACGGAAGAGTTCTCTGAGTGCAGCGATTATTCCTGGTGTAGCCACCTCATCTGGTTCCTAGCAACATGGCAGATGCTGTGGAAGAGGGGCCCACAGGAAGAAGTCATGTTTATGCTGGGTCTTGAGGATGACCGGGAGTTTCTCCACGTGACCAGGAGGAGAAAGGAGAGGCAGGTGTAGTGGCAGGAAGTGGTACAAACATAGTGAAGTATCTCAGCTCAGGGGAGCTAGAATTCTGGCCACACGAGCAGAGGAGGATTAGACCCGTGACAGGAGGACAGGGTAAGCCCCTGATTCTCATGGTCACAGAATGCCAGGCAAAGGGGCTAGAACTTTATCTTGTAGGTCATACTTCTGAACCTGTCCCGCACACTATCATCATCAGGGAAACTTCCAAAAACCACTAAGACCAACTGAGTCAGAATATTTGGAGGTAGAGCTTGGGTTGGTATTTTAAACATGCTTTAGGAGATTGTAGTGGATAGTCAGAGTTAAGAATGCCTGCTCTACAGAGTGCAAAGTCACAGAAGTTATTTAAGCAGAGATATTGTATTGTAACTAGCACTGCAAAATTAAACTTTAAAACTTAGATTTTTTTCTTTTAGAGAGAAGCAACTTCTCCAAACTGTCTCCAGCTGAACACATAACACCCCTCCCCTCCTTAGCCCAGAAGTGATAGAACGTGCAGATGCTGACACCTGCAGGTGGCCACAGGAGACAGGCGAGCTGAGGACTGTCGGAATGAGAGGGCAGGTGCCCTCATTGGAGATCTGGATCCCCTCTGTCTGCTCCCCTCCACTCTGTTCCTTACTATAAAAGACCTTGCCCGACTGAGTATGGCATGATGGTGATTTGAGGCAACTGGGCCTCTCCACCTCCTCTAAGCCAGCTTTGAACATCCCTTTTTCCTGTTTACCAAAGCAGACGGCCTCCTTTGATTTGGTCAGTGGCAAGCTGATGAGCCTGTGCAGAAGAACCTGAGCTTTGCGTCTCAGGCAGTAGGGTGGGTGTGACAACAGGAATGGAGAAACCAACAAGGGAGAGCTGGGCACGAGGTGCACGTCTGTGACCCCGCACTCTCAGGGGCTGAGGCAGGATACTGGTGAGTTAAAGCCCCGCCTACACAACTTACTGAGACTCTAGCTCAGAACAAAAAATAAAAATGGGACAGCGATGTGTCTCCGTGCATAGGCTCTGGGTGCAACCCATAGCACCTCAAAAACAAAAGCAAAAATACACAAGGGGAGAAATAGATTTGAGCAGAAGAGAGTCTGTCCTTCCTGTTTCTCACTGTCTCCCGGGGGTGGGCTAGAAGCCATAAAGGGGAGGTGAGAAGATTTAGCTGTGACCTGAACTGCTCCGGCGTGGCTTGACCTGGAACGCAAGCACTGATTGGCTCAGGGGAGTCCAATGTTCAGAACGATGGGAGTCCCAGCCAGAAGGTGAGTTCAGAGGGAAGGGGAAGGCAAGGGCTCTCCAAGGGGCTCAGAAATGCTGGATATGGCGTGGGGGCAGCAGTGAGGTCACCTGGCCAGAGAAATGTGGTGAGAGGAAAGGCACAAAGCACGACGGCTTCCTTATCGGAGACACATTGTGGGCCTGAGCTGCAGGAGGAGGCAGGAGTGGAGAGGACAGAGAGTGTAGCTGTGGAGGCAGCAGGCAAAAGGCCTGGATGCATTTAGGGGTTCTAATGGCGTGTGTGTGTGTGTGTGTGTGTGTGTGTGTGTGTGTGTGTGTGTTTACAGCTGGGGGCTGCACATGCAGCCGAGACCAGAACTGGCCAGCTCTGCCTGCAAGCCCAACAGCTGAGCAGGAGAAAGGCACAGCTGCCTGTCCGAGGGTCACGGGGAACGGCTCTGAGCAGAGGCTGCCCTGCTGCTGTCGGGCTTTCCAGGTGGAAGAGGCCCTTTCTGAACTTAGCATGAAAGCTGACTTGGAGTTACATATGGGGAGCTGTCCAAGTGGGGAAACACAACGGTCAAAGACCCAGAAAGCAGCAGGAGCTGGCATGTTGGTGGGCTGTCACCAAGGGGCTCCTACATGATGTCCTGCAGCAGAGTTGGGGTGACAAGTGAGGCTGGAGAGTGAGGTAGAGTCCACAAGGCAAAGAATCTTCACGTTTGAGGGAGCAGGAGGATCTGCTGCAGGAGGAAGGAGGGAGGTGCACCCCAGTGCCTCACTGCGGTCAAGGGGGAGGTCCTGGCTGGACCTGGGGACTGGGTTAGGACTGAGCAGAATGTCCAGAGTGAACTTGGGCAGGTAGAAGCACATTTTCTGACAGGAATAGTTGGGTCTGGAGTGAGCAGGAAGAGAGGAATGAGTTCACTTAGAGCAAACGACACTGCAAGGGCCCTGAGCAGCCTGTGACACCTCTGGTGCAGAGACAGATACATCAGGCCGCGGCAAGTGCATGGCTGACACATGAGTTCACAGAGTGATGCAACACTACAAACGTGCCAGCCACATGCAGGGAGCCTGGCCAGGTGGTGGCAGGAGGATGGTTCAGGGCCACGCCACCTAATAGGGACCCAGAAGAGGGCCAAAGCAGGACAGTGAGCCAGTCTGTCCTCCACAGCTGCTGCTCCATTCCCTCCATACCATCCACCTGCAGGCAGGTCTCAAGGTTTGTCCCACAGGGTCACCTCGCTGGTGACAGGAGCTCAGGTGTTGACAGGAGGGTTGGCTATCTGTCCTTCACAAGTGGAGCTGGCCACTCTGTGGAAAGCTGGCAA